CCAGTCTCCTCTCTTGGAGTAAATAGGCAATCCCAGTATAGGGAGGCAGGTTGGACTAGGGAAGGTTAAATCTGGATTTTGTGGGAATCCAGTGAGGTGGGGCAAGATCTCAGAGGAAGTGCGAGATGAGCAGGAGTTGACTGTTCCAGGCTGAAGGTAGAGGCTAGTGAGGACTCCAGGCTGAGGGGCCAACCCTAGGAAGATCCAGCCTCAGTAATAATTAGATCTTTGCAGTAATTAGGCTAAGGAGTTTCAGGTAACAGTTCTGTGGCCCCTCAAGTCTCCAGGCTCAGCTACTTATCCCTGATATTCCTCCCCACCTCATCTGCCCTAGGCTCAAGGCTTTTCCCCAAAGGCTTCATTTGGGGGGAGAGGAGGGCGCATGAGCTTTACTGGGTGAGGTCCTAGCAACTGACTGAGGGCCAAGAGAATGATGGTCTCCAGTGACCTGCAGATCCAGATTGCCCACTTTGCACTGGTTTAAATGAGGTCACCCATCCATTCTGCCTGTGCCCATTATTATCACTTAGCATGTGTGCATTGCCATCGTTTACTGAGTCCTCCCCCACACACCCAGTGATAATGGGCACAGGCAGAATGGATGGGTGACCTCATTTAAACCCATTTGAAAATGATGTTTTGCAAAACCCAAACAAAACGTTCCTTGTCACTTCTAAGAAATTCACACCCACTAATGCTTGAGCATTAGTCAGTGGTTCCTGCAATGCTCCTTGATTTGAAGAGGTCTCCAGCCCACCCTCTGCCCACACTAATCAGTAGCTTGGCTGAGCAGGGAGGATGGGCTTCTGCCTTTCTCTCCAGTCATTAACTGGCTTCTGGGCTCCTCCTTAGGGACAGAAACTTGCCCTTTGAACCCTCAATTCAAGAGCTGGCTTTTATTCTCAGAGCAGAGCCGAGCATTCAGCACCAGCTCTTACAGCAGCTATGTCCATGCCATCTACTGTGGGTACACCCAGACCCTCTGGAAGGACGTGTGATGGAAGCAGAGCTCATATTCTTTGCCTGGGTATCTCTGGGGATAGCGTACCAAGTGGGGACTGAGTGGAAGAACATTAGCTTGTCTCAGTGAGCCAGTGGCTCTCCAGAGAAGAGGCTAGAGGTGTTCGTGGGTCACCTTTGGCTGAGGGCTGTTATGTCAGAGGAAGGGAAAGGGAGGTTTGGGCCAGGGGCTTCCTTTCCTTTTGCCCCTGAGATACTGCATACTGCCTCCCACCACCTGCACCCTAGTCTGGCCTGCAATCCATCAGGCATCAGCCATTTCCCCAGAGCTGTGGCGTTTCCAGCAGGAGATTTGAAGGCCTCCCCATTACTCATGTGACTTCTATCTCTGGAAGGCAGGCTGGGGACAGCTGGCTGGGTAACTGGAAGTAGGCCGAGAAGGTGCCACTGTAGGCTGCACACTCCTCAAAGACAGGGATGCCAGTGATGAGGGGGATAGTGGAGGCCACTGGTAGAGAAAATAAACAGTTCCGTGAATTTACTGGAAAGGACCTGGCCTCTACTTTGAAGTAAACTTATGCTCAAGTGTTCTTTCTTGCAGGCCCCCATAGGTGCATGCCCCCCCTTGTTGAAGAGGAGGCTGTGGGAATGACATTGAGAGATACAGCCTTCAGAGCTCCCTTAAGAGAAAGGGAATCTGGGATTGGCCCTGAACTCTAATCCCAGCCTCAAGCTCATTATTGAACTCCCCTATGGAATCAATTTCCTCATCAACAAGATGGGCATAATTCTAGGGCCCTTCTGGCAGGGTCATTCTGAGGGTTGAATGAGGTAATGCATTAGAAGTTCTCAGCAGAGGGCCTGGCACATAGCAAAACCTCAATGAATTTCAGCTCTTACTATCCATGAGAGGACATGGAGTGGAGGCCTATGGGAGGCACCCCACCCTGGCAAGATCCCCTCCTCATACTCTGAGCAGGAGGGTCCGGGGAGAGTTAGCAGACCAAGAAGGGAGGGAAGGGAGGTTTCCCAGGAAACCATGGGACCTGGCACCTGAGCTGAGTGTATGTTTGAAGCAGGTAGAGGGGGCATCCAGAAGTTTGTCCTCTCTCTTGGAAGGGTGTTGAGAGCAGCAGACAGGTAACAAGGGAGGTTGCCATTTCTGGAAGGGCAGATAGATGCAATCATTGTGAGAAATGATCCTAACCCCACAGGAAGCCCAAAGATGGTTAGAGAATTTTCCTTGACTCCTGCAGCGTTGGCTCTTGCCATCAGAGATCACCTCAGGTGGTGGCCATGGGTGACTTCCTTGACATTTCTGTCCTTCTCCTCATTAGTCCCACCCCAGCTTCCTTTCAGCTTTTCCTCCCTACTCCCTGAGGGTTCTGGCCACTATGAGGGACAGGTCAGACCTTTTTGGAAGAAACCTTGGGTTCTCAGTGCCTTTACAGGACTATGTGCAGGTGCAATAAATATTTTTCCCACTACTGTTGCTGCCAATCCTAGCATATCTTTGATGCTGCCTCATGCTAGCAAATCTCTGATCAAAGACATGCCTTCACCACACTATACTCTTCATGAAAGCATGGACCTTGTCTCTCTTGCTCATGACTTCAACTCTAGCCCTCAGCAAGGTGTGGGTCAGCAGTGGTCATTTAGCAAATGAATTGGTTGGATGAGTGAATACATGCATGCGTGCATGTGGGGGATGACTGGTGAATTGGAGGCATGACGTTTTCTGGGCTGAATCATGGACTCATCTCATGTAGAACCGGGCTCTTCAGCTGGGGCATGCCGCAATCTGGCTGGGCACAATTCACGAGCCACTTATCAAGCAGAAACGAACTTTATTTTTAGAACACACAGGCCGCACCACACGAGCTCTTCAGGAATTCCCTCAGACCCCAACTGCCACCACCAGCTTCCCACAAGCCTCTCAACCCCTCTACTCCTCCTGCTCTTGAGGCCGACTGGCTGGGTCGTGTGGGCGGAGCCAAAAGAGTCCCCCAATGAACAGCTCTGTGGTCTGAAAGGGCGGGGAAACAGCCCAATGAGCATCACCCCATGCTAAGAGCCACAGCCAAGTAATATGATGCATGGCATTTTGGGTTGAAAGGTGATGCCAGCAAGCCATTGAGATGATATGATTATGTTAAGATCTGCATTCATATGGATATTGGACTCCTGCTGTCCACCTGGGCCTGCTACAGGACTCCTGGAGAGTTCCCATTGGTTGGGGAAGTGCGGTAGGAGGGAATTCTGGGGGAGGGACTTCCTGTGGGGGTCCTGGAGAACGCTGCGTGGGTCGGTCGGCGGTCTTCCCGGGATCGTATGGGGCTTTGGCGGCAGTTTCAAAAATAAAGTTTGTTCCTGCTTGAGTGGCTCGTGATTTTGTGCCCAGCCAGACTGCGGCAACCCCAGAGGAGCCAATCAGCTGGCAGCTGGAAATTTGCTAGGGCCACGGTGAGCCAATCAGCTGGAAGTTTGCTGGGGCCCCTTCAGCTGTGGCTCTCAAAAGGGGCAAGCCCCCTCAGCCTCTATGGGGGCAGGCTGCCTCCCAACTCTGCCCTGTGGGGATTATTGGCCAGCATGCCTGGTCACCTTATGGTGTCCAAAGGGCACATTGCCCATAGGGAGATGGCTCTGGAGCCCTCCCTCCAAGGCACTGCAGTGTGCCCTGCCAAGGGTGGGGCCCACCAGTCTATCTGCACAAAGTTGTCAACACAGCATCCCTCCCTGGCCCTCGTCTCCCCCGGCCTCAGAGAAACTCCTTGTTGTGTGCATTTGATGTGTTTTGATTGCCTGGCAATATTATGGATTCGTTCATTTGTTATAGTTGCCTTCCTGAAGTGAGATATCGTTTGTTTATTTGTAATACTAAGGTGTGCTAGGTCACCTCTCTTTCTTGTTTGTGAGGTTGTGTTGACTATTTGGAGGTGAGGAGAGGAGGACAAGATGACCAAGGACTAAAGTGTACGCAGCTGAGATAGGTGAGGTCAAGGATCTGTGTTGCCCCAGGCCTTCCCAGTGAAACTGAGGATTATTGAATTATTATTGAGCCCAACCAGACTCCAGGGCTGCACAGATCCCTGAGTTAGACATGGTGCCTGCCTTCTCCATGGCAACGAGGCTAAATATGGACGCGTTTCCATGGAGAGCCATATTACAGCTGCAGCCCTGCTTCACTTCTTGGGCCTCTCAGGAGGTGGCCAAGGTCTTTGGGAGGTGCCTTGGACATTGAGAAAACATTTTTCACTTTTGGAGATTTTTGTTGCCAACAAGTTCTCCATTTCCCCACCCCTAGACTCATCCACATCCCCTCCTCTTGGCAGTTAGATGTTAGGAGAGGCCATAGGTCAGACAGATGAGGCAGTTGGGAAAGTGACACTGGGCTTGATGACCATTCATGCAAGCCATCTTCACCTTGCTCCTGGGAGTAGATGTTCTTGTTGTTGGAGCGCAGCTGTGAGAACACTGTAACAAATCTTGTGTCTTCTACTCCTCAGAACTCTTCAGGAAGAAGTATTGCTACAAAGGCTTTTTAAAATGCTTTCTGAGAATTTCCACAATTTTCAAATAATTCCATCATTATTTTTAGGTTTTTAAATGCCTCCTTCCATATGCACAGAATATTCAAATGTGACAAGGTTTTATTTTTCCTTAAGGGAAAGTAAGTCTTTGCTGCTTGTTTGAGTTTGAACAAGTCAAATCTCTGAATATCTTAACTGTCTGACATAGCAATGTGGAATGAAACTTTGTTTTGGGTGAAGGCTAAACGTATAAGCTGAGTATTAGGCTCAAGACTACCCTGTTTAACATCATGTGGCTATTTAGTGATTACATCATATCTGTTTATAGTTTAATTGTCTGTTGAATTTGGGTCCTTCTAGCCCAGCTGATCATATAGGTGGGTTCATGTATATTAGGAAGCTGGGCTGTTCTCCCCAGTTAACTAAAATATGGAAAGATGTGGAGAGAACTCTTAAGGCAAGTGTAAATAGTCTCATGGAAGATTCAAATATGTGTTCTGTGTGTTGCAGGCCAAGTGGCATCAGAGCCCAGTGATGGACGACCTGCAGTCCCAGAACCTCTCCATGGACATGACCGACTCCCCTCCCACCTTGGCCAATAACAGACTGGAGAATGGTATGGCCCAGCTGATCACCACTGAGGCCTGGAACATCAATTCTACTGACCTGGTCAAGAAGGCCCTTGTGACTGTGCCTGCCCCATCCATTCTGAACCCACCTGCTGAGTCCCAGAGTGGCATGGCTCTGAAGGTGGCGGCCACTGTGTTGCAGCCCCTGTGCCTTGGGGAAAGCCCAGTGGTGATGCCCATTCACATGCAGGTGGAGGGAAGCTCTGCACCGGAGCTCAACCCCAATGGCAATGCCACCTATGTCATGACCACACAGGGCCCTGTGCAGCTGCCTGTGGTGCTGGAGCAGCACGTCTTCCAGCACCTCAACTCCCCTCTGGTCCTGCCACAGGAGGCCCCATGTTCCTCCAATGCCATCCACAATAACCTCTTCCAGGGGGCTGAGGACCCCGAGGCCCAGCCCCAACTCCTGGACCTGAGGATCCCTAGCCAGCCACAGGAGCCCACATTGCCATTCGAAGCTGTGCTTCAGAATTTGTTCCCCTCCCAGGGTTCTCTCGGGCCTCCACCCTGTCAGCCTCCTCCAGGCTATGCTCCAGTGCCCCCGCAGCCCTTTAACTCCCCCTTGTCTCCCTTGGTCCCACCAGCCACCCTCTTGGTTCCCTACCCTGTGATTGTCCCCTTGCCTGTGCCAGTCCCCATTCCCATTCCCATCCCAGTGCCTCAGAGTTCTGAATCCAAGTTCAGCCCCAGTTTCCCCAAGCCACCATCTTCTTTCAGCCTGCACTCCTTTAAAGGCACTCAGACCTCTCTGGAAAAGGATGAACTGAAACCCTTAGACATCCTCCAGCCGAAGGAGTACTTCCAGCTTAGCCGCCACACGGTCATCAAGATGGGGAGTGAGAATGAGGCCCTGGATCTCTCCATGAAGTCAGTGCCCTGGCTCAAGCCTGGCGAAGTCAGTCCCCCACTCTTCCAGGAGGATGCAGCCCTAGACCTATCGCTGGCAGCCCACCGGAAGTCTGAGCCTGCCCCTGAGACACCGTATGACAGCAGTGGGTCTGTAGACAGCCCAGGCCATACTGTGATGGAGAAACTTCCCAGTAGCATGGAAATGCCCTTTGCCCCTGCCACATCTCACGAGGCCTCAGCCATGATGGATAGCCACATTGGCAGCAGCAATTCTGCTGAGATGGTCAGCCAGCCTAGCCACCCTAGTGGTGAGGTCAAGGCTGAAAATAACATTGAGATTGTAAGTGAGTCCCAGGCGGCCAAGGTCATCGTCTCAGTTGAAGACGCTGTACCTACCATCTTCTGTGGCAAGATCAAAGGCCTCTCAGGGGTGTCCACCAAAAACTTCTCCTTCAAAAGAGAAGACTCTGTGCTTCAGGGCTATGACATCAACAGCCCAGGAGAAGAGGCCCTGGGAAACGCGGAGCCCCTTAGGAAACCCGTCAAAAACCGGAGCATAAAGTTAAAGAAAGTGAACTCCCAGGAAATACACATGCTCCCAATCAAAAAACAACGGCTGGCCACCTTTTTTCCAAGAAAGTAAATAATGGCTTTTTAAAATTTTTATGATTATAACATGGGGAAAGGTGCATTGGTTTTTTAAAAAGGCATTTAAAACAAATTATCTTTGTTAATTATTTTGGGGAGTAGGAGGGACGTGGAAAGGTAAATTGGCTCTAGAGGCCCTGTAAGCTAGTATCATTTTCTTTTTTAATTTTTGACTTTTCACAAATGAGTAAATAAGAGCAACCTATTTTTCAAGCAGATTGCACATTTTTTGCAGCTTTAATGGAATATTGGGTGAATCAGAGGGGTAAAAAAAAAAGCTATTTTCATTGCCACAAAGTGCTTTGATGATGTAATACCTAATAAAGGGTAGGATGAATATTTCACAATAAATGTTTGTTTGCACTAATTGGTTGCAGTATTCTGTCATTTATAAAATTTACATTCCTTAGCTGGCAAGATTAGGCCAAAACTCTTGCTTGTAAAGAGCTGTAAGTTATCTGTGTTTAGAGACCTAAGCTCTTCAGGCATATTGGGAAATATTACCCTGTGCCCCCATAAAAGAAGGACCAGGAATTTGTATGGCCTTGAGTGAGTCATTTCCCCCTCTAGGCCTTGGTGGGGTTTTTTTCCCTGTAAAAATGTGGCAAAAAAAAAGGGAGCAGGGAGGTGAGTTTCCAGTACTCCAGGCTCCTTCCAATTCACATAGTTCTACACCTGGACTTTCTACACACTAAAACAAATGTCTCTAAAAGAAATTGACTTGTTTCCCTCCCCCACCCCAGAGTTTAGCTGGAAAGGGTCTTCTTTCCAAAGGAAATAAGAGCATTGTTTTCAATGATTGAAAATCTTGCAAGTCTAAAATATTCTGAGGCCACTCAGAATAAGAGTTACTTGCTGATAGATTTAGATATCTCCTAATTTTTCTCAGATTTGGATAGAGATCTTTGAGATGGGGGAAGGAAGAGAAAGTCATTCTTTGTTAGTTTAGTCTAGTGGTTCTCAAAGGAGGGTGATTGGGCCCCTCAGAGGACATCTGGCAATGCCTGGAGACACTTTTGGTTGTCATATCTGGGGGAGGTGATTCTACTGGCTTGTAGTGGATAGAGATGAGGGATGCTGCTAAATGTCCTATAACGCACAAGACAGACCCCCCAAACAAAGAAGTCATCTGACCTGAAATGTCAATAGTGCTGAGACTGAGAAGCCCTGGTTGAGCCATTGCTTGATGGATGGAAGCAATGCACTTGGAAGGAGAGAATAGCGTGTTGCTCTTCTGACAACATACAGCCACCCACACAAATGAGGAACTGTGAGCGTGCGTTTAAAATAGACCTGCTAGGTGGCACATAGCACTTGTGTCTGAAACTGTGCTGGCGAGAGACTGATTAGTGCATGCCTGCTTTTCAACTTCCAGCTCTTTCTTTCACTTCTTGCAATTAGTATGTATCCAGCTGTTACTGTGAACATGAACAGGAGGAAAAGCAGTCGCGAGACTGTTCTTTTATTACCCTGTGTGTATAGGGTTACAGTTTTAGCTGGTCCTGTATCAGACACTCAGAGTGGCTTTTCTTTTTCCTGCTCTTTTCTCTGTGTTGTTAAAATTTCTTTCTCAAAGTGTGACCATTTTCTTTTTCAAAGTATAACCAAATAGCTATTTCACATCAGGCTAACTAGTCTCCAGCATCAGCTGGACTCCAGCCTTTCAGCTTCTACACAGTACAGTCATTTTTTTTTTTCTTGTTTTTATTCTCCATGTGGGTTTCTGGCCATGATTCCTGAGCATAGCACATGTATTCTAGTTTCAAATCAAACACAAATGTGCTAGCAACTAGCGTCCCCCATTCGTCTGCTGTCTCTTCTCCCCATGCTTACAGTTGTTTCTGTTGCCACACAGCGCTGGACAGCCTTTTCTGTCCCAGCCAATAGGGCCTGTGACTTCACAATGTGTCAGGACTGATCTGGATTTAGAGGAAAGAACTTGCAATTTACCCTTTAGAAGTGAGTGCTTAAAGCTGAGTGACATACAAGTGGAAAGGCAGAAAATTGTAGCCTGTAATTACCTTATAAACCTCAAACCACAAATTTCTCTTTGTTGTATTGGGGATGCCCTTCTGTCTTCAGATGGCAGCTCTGGTAGAGTGAGAAAGGTTGGCCCCACAGCCCATCTGGGTGTGGAGGCAGTGCAGGCCAAACCCCAGGCCCCTGATGGATTCCTGAATAGGCCTCCCCACCAATACCAGCCATGCCTATTTGTGGTCCTTGCCATTCATCAGTGGGAGCTTTGGGGAAAGAGGCTATTGTGAGTATGGCTATAGCTTCAGAAGACTTGCCCTTGATATCTGTGAAGGCCTCACTAGTGTTGGGGCCAGGGTTGTGCTACTAAGGTGGCCACACCCTCTGCCTGCCCTCTTTCTTGGCCTTTGATGGAAACTGAAATCCAATGTGCTTAGCTATATGCAGGCCAAGGAATGGGGGGAGGGAAAGGGCCATTCCTATGGCCAGAGCAAGCCTGGGGTTCAGGATGGTTAAATTGCACATGCCTTTCCCAGTCAGAAGTTTGCAGCCTTTCACATGAACCTTTAGAGCTGGCAGCCTGGAACTGTGGTTCTTAGCTTGAGGAATATGATTCCCATGGGGCTCACCAAGTAAAGCAAACTCTGAAGCCTCATCATTTTTCTTCTTGATTTCGGCCAGCTGTTATCTCCCCACCCCTCACAACTATCTCCAGATAACCTACTTTTAGGTTTGGATCATGCTGAATTTCCATCAGGCTTTTATTCATGACTTAATTTCCCATCTCCCCTATAGATATTTTGGATTAACTAGCCTAAAGATCAACCTTTCCGGCTTTTTTTTTTTTTTTTAAAAAGAAACATGATTAGTCCCCAGGAATGTGGATATTTGCTTAAGACTTCTCGTGATGGCTTCAGCTGGCTTCAATGCAGATATGATAAAAAAAATTGGAACAAGTCAGGAATATCCACATTTGGGGATAGTGATCCTCTGGTAGAATACAAACTAATTGATTGAAAGGGGGAAAAGGAAAGATTTAAAGGGGATACACTTACTATCCTAACTAAGGGACTCCTAATGACCAGAAAATTGTACATTTGTTTAGATTCAAAGACAGAACTGTCACTTTTAAGCATGAAAAAAATGCCTATAATGATAAAAACTCCAAACAAAAAGAGAAAAGGAAGGAAGAAGGAAGGAAAGGGAGGGAAGGAGAGCGAGAACATTCTAGGTGACAAGTCAATAGACTCATTATCTTCATAAAGAGTCTAGGAAAGGACTTTGTTCCATTTTACAGGGAGGAAATTGAGGTTCGGAAGAGTTTTCTGCTTTCAGTTTTTAAGCGTCAACAACTCAAAAAATATGTACTTTGCAATATCCGTAAATATGGGGTCTGAAACCCAACGAACCCACAGGAATTTGGATCCTTTGGGGGAAAAAACAGTATGAATTAGTGAAGAGTCTGAATTTCAGATTTTTTTCAATTATTTTAAAGACCATTCCAGTTAACTGGAACGCCCGGAGCACTTGGCACAATGGGAAAGGGGAGATTTCAAGCTGAAGGGTGGAGATGCCAAGCGTCTAAAAGCCACACTTAAAAGCTGCTAAGCTGAAAACTTTAACAGCAGGGAAAAAAGTGTTAGAGGTCATTCTGGCAGACTTTACTCCTCATTAAATAAAAAAGGCAGTTTTCCACAACAGCTCACTTCCACCAGGTCAAATAACTGACCTCCCACATCAGTGAGACAAAACAGGATGTATTCAAGGCTCTTAGGGTGCTATTTTAATAAATCGATCATTTATTTTAATTAACTTGGGTTGATTTGATACTAAATGGTACATGTAAGTGCTTGGAAGAATTAGTTCTAAATATTGCAAATAATTTACCTGCAACTTTTTATTAGACCAGGGAATTTCTAAGCCAAGTGAGATTTTAGCAATGCTCTGCTGAAGTTTTGAATAAATCCAAGCTAAAGGAGATGAACAGCTGAGGTTTACTATGTTAATTCAACTTGTAGGTTATTTTTCCACCTACTGTCTTCTGTATATGAACTCATATACAACTGTAAGCTCACTCTGTTGATAAAAATGATAGTGGTCACCCTGCTCTGCTAAATAATATCTTCAATCTAAGATTTGGACAAACCAGGCAATTAATAAGAGTGTAATGAGGCCTTATGAAATCAGGAGCACCATGCTGTTGGTCCTGAATGATAGTGGGGCCTAAATAGTTTTATTTGTGATCATTTCAAATAAAGAACTTGATTTTCTTCAGTGCAGCCATTTTTTACTTGGACATATTTCAAGCAACATTAAGAAATACCACACTGAACAGAAAAGTCTTTGAGAGCAGGGATTGAGTCTTAGTTCTCTCAAAGTCTCTCAATCTTAGCACTATTGACATCTGGGGCTGGATGGTTCTCTGTAATGGAGGGCTATCTCATGCATTGCAGGATGTTCAGAGGCATCCTTGGCTTCTTTGTGTGAGATAATAAAAATTTCTCCAGACATTGCCAACTGTCCCTCAAGGGTTGGGATCAAAGTCATCCCTGATCCAGAATCACTGCTTTATCTCTGGTGCCTGACACCTGGCCCAGAACAGAGGCTCAAAAGTTCCTTGATAAAGGAACATGATCAACCAATCAGGAAGAAGAATCTAGAGCAATGGTCTCTGATATCCCACTCATATTTTCTGCTTTATTTCTATAAGGCTAATCTGGCCAGGAAATGATTATTTGGTACCAGTGTTCACCTATCCAAAAGGTTGTTATTTATCTACCATGTCATGTGCCCTCTAGAACCTTCCCTCTAGTAAAGGAGTTTCAGCAGGATTACCACCTCAAAGAAATAGCAAGCATTCTGCCAGTCCTGACAGGATGCCTCATTATTTTACTAGCACCATGAAACTGGAAGGATCCATTATTCAAAACTCACCCTGTGATGACTGTTCATTGGTCTTATTTCCAAGGGTAGCATAACCCAGGAATTCACAAACATTGCCAGAAAGTTGGGGTTTTTTCCCCTTATGTTTTACCTAAATCCTTTTTGCTGTAATTGAGCCCAGAGTTTTGTCTTTAATGGAAACAAAAGCCAAAGCTCCTCTTGTAGTCTTTGTATATGTAAGCACCAGATCTTTTTGCAGCCTCCTTCCCTTGGACTCAAGAGTCCCATCTCCTCTCACTTTCTTGGAGTTCCTACTTTATAATCCTGTCGTCATCTTGGTTGCTCTTTCCCCAATTTCTCCATCTACTTTGTAGAGTCAAGAACTCCAGGTAGGTGATGAAAATGTTCTAAAGTTGATTGTAGTGATGGTTGTACAACTCTGTGAATATACTTCTAAAAACTTTGAATTGTACACTTTTAAATGGGTGAATTGTATGGTATGTGAATTATATCTCAATAAAGTTGTTATCTTCTAAAAAATAATAAAAGAACCCCAGATAGAAATTGGGAACTGATTATGGGTTCCAGCAAAGCCTCCTAGAATTGAATAGTTACTTTCTATCTTTGATCAGTTATATCCATGTTAACTTATTTCCTCTTTCCACAGGGCCCTGCCATCTTTGATGATTGGTTATATGCCTGTTAACACTGCCTCACTTCTCATTAGGGCCCACCTATCTGGCTTTCCCAGGTTTTCCTTTACTGTCAGAACTTCACTTGGAATATCATCTCCCATGCCTCATTTCTTGGAATTTGGAATCCCCAAGCCCAGTTGGTTTGCCCTGAACAGGTCTTCTCAGACCTTCAACTTGGTCCTCACCGTTTCTCCATTAGGATTCAAACTATTTGACCACAGGCTTTTCTCCATATTTTTATCGATGCATTATAATTATACATAATGGTGGGATTTATTCTTACATATTCATACAGGCACACAATATGCCACAGGCTTCTTAAGTAAAAACTCATTCAAAAGACTACTGGATTAAAAATATCAAAAAACAGCGCCACTCTGATCTGGAGTATTACCTGTCTGTCTCCTTGCCCTGTCAAGCCCATATACATGGTTGAGTAAAGCTACTACACAGTGGTGGCACTGTGAAATCGGTGGCCCCAGAACTGCAGTTTCACACCATTCCCTCAGCGCCATCTCTGTCAGAGCTCTGGACATCAGAGCAAAGTGACTTCTACTAGTTTGTCTCATATTTTATGCAGGAGTAGAGGAAACATTTAGGATACACGTGGTCTAATGACCTATGGGCTGAGAATTAGGAGATCAGGTTCCCAACCATTGGGGCTACATTCCAGAATAATAGTCAAGGATCCAAACACTGTCACCCCAAAACAAAGACTCAGGTCCCCCCCACATTACAGGAGGTCAGCAGGTGTCAGTCTGGAAGGTGGTCATAATAGCAATGGCCGTTGAAATGACTTGAATTGGACTCTGGCATTCAGTCTTGGGGCAGGGCCAGCATAAAGAGTTAACAGCACAGAGTTTTGTTAGCAAGTGATGTTTTTTTAATGCAGCTTTAGGATTTCAAGTACTGTTGGAAACCAGCTAACAAGGTCTTGCCTGGCAGAAGTCCTTGGGGGAATCATGTTAACACATGGATAACATTATTTGGAAAGAGGGTATCAACTATTTGTGAGTGAATGGGTGCTCCTGAGGTACTTGAGGATGGATGAGAACAGTCTCTTTTCTTTGTGTGGCTGGGGAGTGCTCAGCAGGCAGTGGGAGAGCCAGATAATGGAGGGCTAATTCTTTAAGCTCCGAAACCTTTTATTGCAACTGTTTTCAATAGGAATCTTTTCAAAACGCATTAAGCATCTTGGCATAGGAAGCCTTTCCTTGACTCGGTCATTGTTATGAGCATTGGCGACTGGCCTGGGCTGGGATGCTGGGATGACATGATGCCCTTCAGGCCATCCAGGGGGTGCTGTTTGTCTTCAGCCACCATTGGCTCTCCTGACTCCAGTGCCCATTCCCCACTCGAGCCTTTCTTTCTTTAACATTTGTGTTTGTGTGGTTTTTTATTTTAAAAATTTCTTGCCATTCTGTTGCTTCTCTGCTTCCATGACAGCAACCATCATGCCTTGAAACCATCACTAGCTCACATCCATAAACTGACCCATAGCCTCAATTGGTCCTTGCTTCCCCTGGCAAGTACCTCCTCTTTGCTCTGCAAGGCCCAGCCCTAGTGCTGCCTCTGGGGAGGGACATGGCAAAGGAAGGTTTCTCCCATTTTATCAAGCCAGTCCCTATCTCTTGGGTAGTAAGCTTCCTGAGAGTAGGTCCATGTGACAGGACAGGGCATTGTGTCCTCAGTGCACAGTAGCTGGTAAAATCTGAAACTTGCTCATGGAATTGAAACATGAGCCTTCTCTGCTTCCATATGTGTCACTTGGCTCTACTGGCCCCTGTCCCCCATCCAGGCTCTGGCACTATCAGACCTTTCTAATTTCAGCCTGTTCTGGATCCTGGTCAAAGGGTGACTTGTGCAAGCACCAGATGAACATGACACTGTTAGACATTTCCCCTAGAGCCCACCTGTCCTGTGTATGTACCCTTTAGGCCCTTCCCTTATTGACACCACAATGGCTGAAATCCAGCAGAGCCCATTTGAGCATTTGTGAATTTCCAAATTATTGAAGTTTCAGTTAGTGTTTCACTAAAGCTTCTCTCTCCCTCTCTCCCTTCACCTTTCCCTTTCTCTTTACTTCCAGTCATTCCCTTTTCTTTTTAAATTCCCAGAAGTGCACAGGGAGCTATGGTTTTTCCCCTCGAGCCTCATCTTCCTCTGCCTGACCTCTCAGAGGGATGAGGCATTTGTATCACTCGCTTCCTCCTTAATTTCCCTGCCTCTCCCCCCCCCATCTCTTCCTTTTGCCCTCCTCAGATAATGATGCTGATGGTCTACCATTTCCTGCTCTTCCTCTTCTCTCTCCCTCATAGGATGCGTCCCAGGCCCACAGTCCTCAACCCACATGCTCTCCTCTGGTGACTTGATACATTCTCTCAGTTGTTTATGACATTTTTATTGTGTTTATTCCCCTGATCTCCAGCCCTGAATTCTCTGCCACCCTTTTTCCAAGGGTGGAGATCCATGTTCATCATCTTTAAAACTAAATCAGTCTTTCCCTTCCTCATCCCACTCCCAGATCTCATGTTCATTTTCTGCCACCACCATATTCTCTTTCCCCAAGTGAAAAAGGTGGAGCTGTCCTCCATGATATCTCTTTTGCCTTGACCTCTCAGGTCCCTGTCTTCCTGACTTTGCCTCTTAAGTCTTCCTCAAATTCATCATCTATTTCCCCCATACTTGCCCCTTTTTAATATTTATTTTTTAGTTATAGTTGGACACAATACCTTTATTTTATTTATTTATTTTTACGTGGCGCTGAGGATCGAACTCAGGGCCTTGCATGTACTAGGCGAGCACTCTACCACTGAGCCACAACCCCAGCCCCATACTTACTACTCTCGATCCAGCCCACATCATCCTTAAAATGGTCTCAGTACTGGGTGGGGGCAATATCTCCAATCTCAGCTCCCTGAATCTTTCCTCTATGCTGCCACCTGAATCATTTTGGTAATAGGCAAGTCTTATCATGTGGTTGGTGTGGGTTATTTCCCCATACCCTGTGGCCTCACATGTCAGCAAGCCTTCTGAGGGCAGAGCCCAGCCCAACTTTTTGACTGGAACTCTTCCCTCTCACCATGTGCAAGATCTAGGAATATAGGAGGATTAGTTGTTCCCAGCACATGCCTCTGTGCTCCCCCTGCATGAGTACCCCCTCCTCCAGACATACCCTTCCCAATTTTTTAGTCTGACTAATTCTTCAAGATTCAACTCAAAACAACTTGTCCAGAAAGCTCTCCAGGACTGCTCCAGCATAAGCTGAGTCCTCCTGACCTCCCAAAACTCCTCTAGGGCCAAGGTCATGGTCATTGTATCTTACATGCCCAGCACAGTGTTCGGCATTTAGAGGGCCCTCAGTAAATCTGTGTGGACTGAACTGAACCCACAGGGGAAGTATAAGTATGCTCCTCACAGCCAAAATACAACACACAGAAACCCAGACATACAGAACAGAAATGTCTGGAATCTATAATTCACTTTGCAAAAAAGAAGGATGCACTGCTCAATTCTTTTAAATCGTATGGTTCACTGTGCTTTCAAAACAAGGCAGATTCTTCAAAAGTGGTTTCTATACTTTCATAGAAATATACTCAGAACATAAAATAGGCAATAGTCAAAATCTCATCACTGGCACACAAAGAAAATGTCTGAGCATTTGCCTCCCCAGAGTTTGTGGATTTAGTTATAAATTACATGCATGGACTACTGAACAAATATGTACATTATAAAATATGTGCAAATTTTGAAATTTTGAAGGAATGAAACCAGTATAAATAGGTTCAATATTTTCTTTCTACACCTCAATTCATCATCTTATATATCCCACTGGGTTGTAATGAAATGAGAATATTCTAAATCTCTTAACTGGCTGAATGAATCTTTAAATCCTCCTATGGATCCAAGCATCCCTCCGTTTTGAAATATGGAAAATACTCAAGCATAAGATGTTTCTGCATCAAAAGTAGAAACCATTTGTGTTATTACAACTCGCCAAGGGGGTGGCTGGGGCCCCTGAGTAGAAGTTAGGAATGTTGTCTTTACAGCCACAGGATCTGACTCAGTTGCCACTTCTGTTCCTTTCTGGTCATGAGATGTTGGGCAAGTCACTGAATGTCTCTGCCTCCATTTCCTCATCTGTAAAATGAAAGTAATAAATATCTTTGAGTATGTGAGTTAGTGTATTGGGGGCACTAAGGACAAAATGTTCAGTAAATGAGTGTCCAATGAGCCCTCAATAAATTTGTTCACATTATACCTTGTTTACATGCCAGAAAATAACTAAAAAGAACCAATAAGTAAAAAAAAATACCAAAAAAGAAAGAACAAACCCCCTACACCACTGAAATTCCTGAATTTAAAAAAAAAGCCTTGTTAGATTTACTTTTGCTCCACAAAGTTGGCTTTTTTATTAAAATATCTTTTTTTAGTTGTAGTTGGACACAATACCTTTATTTTATTTATTTATTTTTATGTGGTGCTGAGGATGGAACCCAGCGCCTCATACAAGCTAGGTGAGTGCTCTACTGCCGAGCCACAACCACAGCCCCAAAGTTGGCTTTTAAGCCAGGAACTTTCATGCCTTCCTTCAGACTACTGACTAATAGTTGAGCTAAGGTAGATGTCACTTTATTTTCCTTCCTTTTGGTCTGAGAGAGGGGTTGATCACTTGGCTTTTAGAAAGAACATGGACTAGTTGGAAAAGAAGGAAGAGACATGGGCTGGGAGAAAGAATGCCCAGAGTCAAGATTGGCCTCGGAATCAAAGTAGCTCTTAGATTGCCCTCTGCTTTAGATTCTTCACTTGTAAAACTATGACTCAGCAGCCCTTCCCATGGGGACTAATGAGCTAACACCTGTGCCCTAAGCCTGCAAGCA